CGGGGCGGGGAGAGACTTGCTGAGAAGTTTCAGTCGTCTAAACCAGCAATATGGTGGCCTGAATTGGCAAAGGAGGAATGGAGGTAAGTGGGGAGAGTTGAAAAATACGAGGCGGAATTGATAGGGCTTAGTGATGAGTTTGATGTGCTAGCTGAAGGGAATCAAGGAAGATACTGAGGTGCTCACCTGCGGGGAGTGGTGGACGTGCCTGGCAGAGTTGGACATAGAGCTGTGGCGCTCAGGAGAAACATACGGGCAATGTTCAGGAATCATAAGCATGCAGATGCTCGGGGAGAGTGTAAAGTAAGAAGAAAACAGGATTTAGGACAGGGGGCGAACAAGGTACAGAGGGGGACTGCAAAGGAAGACACAGAGAAGGTATAGTGTCACATACTGCATGGGCAGAAAGAAGGGGCCTGCCACCGGGGTCAGATGTTGCTGGGAGGTCAGGATGAGGTTGGCAAAAGTGTCTGTTGGATTTAGCAACAAGGAGGTCCTTAGTAACTTTGGTGAGGTTTTAGAGGCACGGTGGAGGTGGTGAAGTGGGCTTCAAAGTAAAGCAAAAGTGGGGATGTAAAGACAGTTGAGACGATTCTTGGAGAAATTTAGTCGTGAAGGGGAGGGGAGAGAGACGGGCGGTAGTTAGCTGGAAGGGGCTGAGGAGTTAATGGAGTGCCTGTGCACATAGGTTGAGAGACGCTTGAGTCTGTTTAAATGAATGTGAGAAGCGGGCACAAAATTGAAGTTGCTGGCTCAGGAGATACTAAAACATGTGAGTTCTCGGAGGAGAGGGGAAGGTAATCCAGAGGCCAAGAGACGAAAGGGGGCGCCTCTCTTCCACTGTAAGGAGTGGGGCTGAGGAAAGGATCTGCGCCGGGCTAGGTAGCCAAGGAGGCCTAGTGGGAAGCGGGCGAGGGATGCCCGCGGGGAGGGCTCTGTTTTTTGTGTGAAGGTGGAGGAGAGGTCCTGTGCTGCAGCTAATGGCACAAGGGGATAGAGTCGAGGTTGGCCTTAATCTCTGTGGAGAAAGAAAGGGCTATTTTGAGAAGCAGCATCGTGGAGCCCAGAGCCTGCTGAGCGGTTTACGACAGCACCAGTCTGCAGGGGTGTTTCTCCAGGCACAGCCAGTAGTCAGGAACCGGATGGTTCCGTCCCAGGTGGGCAGAGGCCAGCCGGGCAAGCGAAGTAGGGATTTGGGCCAAAGAGTGGTTAAGTGGTTGGAGTGCTGTCCGTCGCGTCTGCACGGGGTAGGAGAGGCTGTGAATTTGGGTGGAAGCTGGTAATTAGGAGGTAGAGGGATCGAGAGGCCAAGTGTTCAGGGAGGTAGAGGAAGAGATTGTGCGGAAGTGACTGGAAAGCCAAGAAGTTGTGGTCAGACAGCAGCGAAACTAAACGTTATTTCAGAAGCGGAACGGTTCGTCTGGCTAGGTCTAGGATATGACCATTTGCGGGGGCGGCAGAGGCGGACGAGGTGTGAATTTCCATGGAGATGAAATAGGCAAGCTAATGAACTGAGAGGCTAGAGTGATGCACGAGTCCTCGCTGCCAAGGTTGAAATCACCCCAAATTGGGCCAGAACTGGGGAAGAGCAGAGGGCTGTGACCCCTGGCTACCAAATCTTCAGCAATGAAGGCGTCTGACGCAGGGGGTCTGCAGAGGCTAGCAGTAAGATAGCCAACTGCTGTTGGCTCGTGTGTGGTTTTCTACGTGGAGATGGAGAAGAAATGGCCTAGAAGTGAAATTATTTGCAAGGAGAGAGTAGGCTTTTCCTCCTTACCTTGGTCTCGCCAATGCTGAGCACAAAGCCTGGCACAGAGAAGGGCTTAATCTGTTTTCAAGGAATGGATGCATGAATGAAAGTAAATTCAGGCTTCCATTTCCGTATAGCTTATAGTCTGAAGCTATCATTTTTCAGCTGTATAGCTGCCAAGTGGTTTTTAAAGGACTCCCCAGGCCTAGGATTTCCTTAGGGACCTGTTAACGTACCAAAGCTGGAAAGAGGCAGTTTGGGATGGAGTGGAGTCAGAAGGCTGGATGGAGAAAGTCTTCTGCCTCTTTTTCCTCTTCTGTCCCCACCCCATCCCAGAGGTAGTGCCTTCCATGGAGGAAGGGGCAGTTATGAAATGTGCTGTGAGAGATGTAAAAGTGAGATACGAAAAGCGCAGAAGAGGTAATCAGCTGTTCCAGGTTATACTGTGAAAAAGCCCCCAAACTGACTACATTGGAAGACCCCTTTCCATAATGTTCCTTTTGACCTTGGATTTAGGCATTATTCAGTTCCTCCTGTCAAAAACCTCTTGCTGTTCACATATGTGTCTCGTTGTCTATTATTTCAGTGCATGTTAACGTTGCCAATAAACGTTGGAAAAACAGGGGGATTTGATATTATAAAAAATCTTGGCCATGGGCGATTATAACCTTGTAATAAAGCTAAGCTCTGAATGTAGACTGTAGGATTTTCACTTTTCAACAGATTTGAAATTCTCAGCATCTCCTTTCTAAGCATGACTTTTCTCATATTTGAGAAAGATTTAGGTACAGCACAATTAGGCTGTATTTATCTCAGTTAAGTACTAGATCCTCAAGAATGGTAGGAGGTTTCCACGTGTAGTGTGAATATAGCAGGAAGAGTTCACCTTTCCTTTTATTATTGAAAACATGCGTGGTCACATTACTTAACTAACTGTTCGGTAAATGATTTCAGAATTTCCTCTTAATTTTAGATTTGCTCCGGCCTTTTTGTCATTTCTGTGCCTGTGAAGCCATGATCAGGAGCTGTTGTCTGTGGCACAGACAAACAAAACTTGTCCTGGCTACCTTTTCCAACTGAAGGTCGTGTCCACTAACTCTGACTTTAATGAAAATTAATGACGTTATCTCAGTGATTTCCTGATGCCAGTAAAGAGTTTGAATTACAGATGCCTTAGAAAATATGCCATGCTACCGCCGCTAAGCACTTGGTCTTTTTCACTTTTTTCACTTCACTGTCAAAGCTTCAGTATTGCAGAAACCTGAATACCACAGTTTTATCCACTATAGAGGATTTGCTCTTTTAAGTCTAGAGCATCACCATTGGCCTATAATGTCCCCAGTTTGTAATCCGTTTGATGTTGCATGACTCCATACTGCCTTTCGAGGCATCGGGAATGAAAATTAAACGCGACAGAAAAGCAGAGACAAA